GCTGAAATTATTAATCCATAAATTCTACTTTAAATAAAGGAATCCGGATTTAGAAATATAATCGCAAATATCTCGAGATGAGCTGATCCAAAATCAATGAATGTTAGCTCATTGGTTTTGTCTAGTCGCGGGGAATCGAATGGTAGTTTTTTTATACAAATCGGAGCAATATTGACCGAGATCATACATCTTTTATTTTTTTTTATTTTTTTTATATATTAAAAATCATGTGATATGATGTGATTTCGACCATTTCGACTTTTAATTTCAACTTTGACCTCCAAAGTCAAAACATTTCGACTTCATGTATGGTCATATTACATGATTTTTTATATGGGATACGGTCAATAGAAAATGGGAAAATCTAAATTTTGGTCAAAATTTATATTATTAGACCACTTGGCTAATCTCAAGTATGTGCACAAATTTGGCTTAATAATAAAAATTAACAAAAATTTTGGATTCCCCCTTTTTTACTGATCGCCTCCCAAATATAGAAAAAATAAAATAATAAAAGATGTATAATATTAGTTAATATCACATCGATTCATATGAAACAACTATCATTCATTTTCATATAACTAGATGAATTTAACGAGCTAACATATATGTATTTCAGATCATCCAATCTTGAGATAATTGCAATTGTTTAATCGGCAGAAATTATAAATCAATAAATGTTACTTTAAATAAAAGAGTCTGGATTTCAAAATATGATTGCATATTTTTCGAGATGAGCTAATCCAAAATTAATAAAGTTTAGCTCGTTGGATTCGTATAGTCGTGGGAAATCGAATGGTAGTTGTTTCATACAAATTGGAACGATATTGATCAAGATCGTATATCTTTTGTTTTTTTTTGTTTTTTTATATATAATAAATCATATGATAAGACGTAATTTTAACCATTTCAACTTTTTATTTTGACTTTAACCTCCAAAGTCGAAATATTTTAACTTTTGGGTTTTAATGTTGACTTCATATATAGCTTGATTCATTTTTTGAAAGATATATTGAATTAAAAGAATTAGAAAAGTTAAATTAGACTTTTTATAAAATCACAATTAATATCTTTTGAAATTACTAATAAAAGTAATAATAATTATTATTCATAATATCATTAATATAAATATAATTTTAATTCATTATGTAAACATACTTATTTAAAATTATATAGAATATTTGACTTTGTATTTTTATCAATTTAATTTGATCTTCAAACAAATGGTTTAAAAGAAAGAATTTATAAAAATACTGGGTATGCAAAAGAAGAAATTCAAAGTTTATTTTATTTATTTTGATTTAAAACTTACTTCACAAGTTAAAAAATATTTAATATAATATGCAAATATTAATAGTTCATCTTTACTTATGAGATATCAAAATGATACTAAAAATTTTATTTTATTTATTTACCATATAGTATGATGAAAATAAAATAAATGTCTTTAGTATAGGACTGTACTAAATATTAAGTTTTAATTATCAGGATTTGATTTTTATGAAGTTTGTGAAAATTTTAGAAAACAAAACAAACTTCTAAAAGTAATTATGATGAATTTATAAAAATTAAAACAGAGTATGAAGAATATCAAAATGATGCTTATTTAAAAAGAAATCATTATAATAATAATATTAGAAATAGTAAAATAAATAATACATATTTATTATGATTAGGCTCAGCATAATTAATTCCTTATTCATCACAACAAGTAGGATTAATTTACTTTAAAAGTACTTATGCAATTTATTTATTTGGTATTTGTAAAACTGAAAAAGAAAACCAACAAATAAATTTTATAATTGCTGAGAATGAATTTTCAAAGGGTATAAGAAAAGGAGTAAATACAACTTTAAAAAATTTATTAAAAGTAATCCTAAAGCAAAAAATTTACAATTAACCTGTGATAATTTTAATGCATAAAATAAAAATAATTTATCATTATTTTTTTGAAGTATTTATTTATTTTGATAATATTACTATTAATTTTATGATATCAGATCATATAAAGTTTATTTGTGATTCATTTTTTTGAAAAATCAAAAAAATTTTTAAAGATAATAAAATTAATACTATAGATGATGTTAAAAAAATTATAAATAAATCTGCAAGTGCTAATATAAGACTTAAATATAATAATGGATTTAGATAGAAATGGTATGATATTTTTCACAAATTTTATAAATTGCTTTCATATAAAAGATCAATCACTATCACTTTCATTTTAATAAGTTATCTTAAGACATAGAAAAAGTTTATTATTTAAAAAGATTTGCTGATGACAACGTTTATTTTAATTTTTTAAATAATAAGAATTTTAATTTATATAAGCAATTAAATATTTTAGAAGTAGCAACTATGTTAAATAAAAGAAAAAAATATTTGCATAAAAAATTAGATAATATGTAGATAATTTACATAAAGATATTTATTATTTTAAATCTTAATATTTATTATTATTATTATTATTATTTTTATTTTTATTTTTAATTTTACTTTTACTTTGGTTTTACTTTTATTTTATTTTATTATTTTATTTTTATATTTTTTTTTTAATAAATTTTCATTTATAAATTATTTAATTTATTTTAGCTAAAACATTTTTTTTTAAAAAAAAAAAAAAAAAGTATTTATAATGAAAAATTTTTTCTAAGGGGTATCAGACCCCATATAAATGAAAGTTATATGTATAAAATTTTATAAACTATTAAATTTAATTTTAATATGTCGATCATTTCAAAAATTCTAATTTTAAATTTTATAAATTTTATGATTAATGTTACACAAACATTTTAAGTATTTTGCCGGCCTAATTGCTTGCATTAATAAGCTAAGCAGAATCGATGTCTATTAAAAAAAAATGTTCTTACCACATCAGGTACAGAATAAAGGCAGAATAGAATTACATAATGACAAAAATGACAGAATTTTATCGTCACCGGTGAGATTTAATTAAGCGTATTGAAATTAACCACGTTGTTTATTCATTTTTCTTTCTCACATCTCCTTTTTTTTTAACAAAATGTCTCAAGTCCTCCCTACTGAATGCTTAAACGAAATTTTTGAAAATTTGGAAGATGATGATTTACTTTCGTGCTTATTAGTAAATCGACAGTGGTGTGAAGTTTCTGTTCCAATTTTTTGGAGAAAAGTGCAAAGTTTTGATACTTTACTCAATTGCCTCCCTAATAAATCAAAAATAATTTTAAATGAGAATGGTTCAATAAATTCGACCTCAATTTCAATTTCAAGACAACCATTATTTAACTATGTAACGTTTATCAAAAGTCTTTGGATTAATGAAATTGATTATTTAATCACAAGATTTCTTAATCAACCTATCAATTCGCAAAGCTTCGTCAAATCACAAAATATTGCAATAAAACAGGAAATATTTAAAATGTTAATGAATCAAACATCTCTGAAAAAATTATCTTATTACACTAGTTTAGACTACACATATACACCATTTATTGTGTATCCTGGAGGAGAAAATTGTTTGAGTAAACTTTCTATATTTCATTGTTCTTCAAACGTCTGCCATGAATTTATTAATCAACTTTCTCAAATTTGTCACAATTTAAAATTATTAAAAATAAATTTTCGAGATTCTATCACTAATGGATTAGCAGATTTTATTTCTGTTCAAAAGCATTTAAAATACTTGAACTTGAGACTTTCATTATATAATTTACAAACTTTTATAAAACTTCCTAATTCATTAATCAAGTTACGCATTGAAGGAAGAGATTCTTGTTTTCCATTTTTGTTGATTTATAAGCTCTCTAATTTACAAGAACTTTCATTATCAGCACATAGCAGTCTTACCAGTTTTATAAGTGATTTTAAAACGATTCAATATGCTACCCTTCGAAATTTGCAAATTTTAAATTTAAATTGTCAAATTTCAAATTTTGAATATGCAGGTCCAGAATTTGAATACCTAATCAAATTCTTGGAAAATAATGGGTGGAATTTAAAAGAACTTGGCTTTCTGTATATATTGATGATTCAAAATTTTTGGAAATAGCCAAATTTTGTGCAAATCTGAGGTGGTTACGCATTGCATTTCCAGATGAAAACATGGAATCTAACATGAAATCACTAAAAGTAATTTTAAATAGTTTTCAACAGTTAGAAAGAATGAATATTTCATGTGGTCCTCACTTATTGGAAGTGCGTAAATTATTAGAGATTGTTTCAGAATTTTCACCTAAAATGTTTTATGAGTTAAAAATAGATTTCGGATTTTCCTTACAAGGCTTAGAATTGGGAACGACATTTCAATGGGAATTAAGGTCTAGCCTTAAATGCTGGGCGAATCGTATACCATGTATTCTTCTTTCCTTCATAGTTACTATGCATTTAGAAACAGATATAGAAATGCAAAAAAAGTGATATTGAAATAATTAAAGAATTTAAAAATTTGGGCGTTATTAAAGGATTCGAAATTATTAATTACGGAATTGAATGTGTTTAAGCGTATTATGTCTTTGGAATAAACACTATTATTATTTTATAAGCTAATGCATGGATGGAACATTTAGTACATACAGAATTCTGCTTGTAATTACTAAATAAATATATAATTTATTATCTTTTAAAATCGTTAGATTTTGAAATGTAAAATAGTGTTCCTTGATAGATATTTATCCGAAAAAATTTAATTCTTTCTTTTTTCGGATAAGTATCGGATAAGTATCGGTCTTCGGTTCTGTGAAACCGGCTCTAATATAAGTTGAATATAAAACCACAGACGATAAAAGATACGTTAATAACTTAAATCTTCGTACCTGTTTTGTATGCCTTCTGACAAACTATAAGGACATAAACTTTTTTTTTTAAGAAAATGTTGGTCATTTTGTATTTCTAAAAAATAAAACCGTTTCATGTTGATTTACTTAAATTTTTCCACTTAATCTTTGCTATAATTTCTGACCAAACTGATCGCCTGTTGAGCGACCTCTTCACAATGTGACCCACCAAAGCAAAGTTTTGAATAAAAATCATGTGACAGTGTGAAAAAAATTCACGCACTTTTGACACGGAGAAGGCTTCACTTCGTTTATCAAAGGCATATTTAAACGTCAAGAGTCAGAAAAAGGTACGCATTATGCGTTTCTTCTGTTCATTTTTAATCAAAAAAGTTCTACTGTTCTATACAAAAGTATCCTGTATAGTTTCCTGACGATACAAGTTTTGGATTTGTTGAAACGACAGGGTTTTTAATAAGTCCTAAATATATTTCGACTTTTTAATATAGTTTGGCATGTTTCGACAGGTTTCGACAAGTTTATTTATATGATTTTATTAAGGTTTTGACACTTTTGACATTCTAACGCTAATATATCATATAAAATTAATGCACCTTTAAAATACTATCATTCATTAACTCAACAAAAAACAATACTTTATCTCGACTGAAAATGGATGGAAATGATGAAGGAGTTAAAGATAGGTTAGGTAAAGGGATAGTTAAAGATATTTTAAAAAGAAAAGAAATTTAAGATTCATATATCGGTGACGCAGTTGTCAACCAACAGTTCGCAACTAAGATAAATTATTTATGAATCTCGTAAGATCTATTGATGTTGGTTTGATTTTATTTTGTGATGTGAATTTTTTTAAAGGTGAAGTGTCTGAATCTGATTCAAATCCATTTGAAGTGTTGCAATATTTTGCTCGAATCAAATCCTCTTAGAATTATGGAATGATTGAGCTAGTTGTCGTGAATTAGTTTTTGAATCAATTTATTTTTAGTACATTCAAATTAATCGGATATTTTGAACAATAAAATAATTTGACAAATCAAATGTCAAATTATAATCGTTGTATTGCGATAAACCATATTATTGTGTAAATAAAAATAATTTATTTAATCTAATGGCTGGTTCTTAATATTTATTATCTTTATTTTATCCATAGCGATAGGTAAAGAAGTACATTTCTTTCATTGGTTTCGAGTTACATTTGATTTTTTAATAATAATAAAAATATGCGTAGATCTAGATTAATATTTCTGACGAAACAAGTTTCGCTCAATAAGATCTAAAAAAATTACCAAATTAAAGGTTTCGAATAATTTCGGACATATAGGATGAAACAGAAAGTTGACGTGGCGAAACGTTTAGAATTTAAGAAAATGGTTCGCCCGTAGCACTATCTAGTATTAATGTACGTTGTTGTTCGCATAAAATGACTTCAATAAATCCCGAGGTTCTGCGCCGATTAGCATGACACTATTTTTCCCGCTTCGCTTTGATACTGCTTAATTTTTAATCTTTTTTTTATTTATAGTTTGGTTTAATCTCGATTAATAATAAATTTATTTATGAATTGCGGAAAAAAATGCATAGAAAATTTATTGTCAAAAAAGTAATTATATAGGTTACTATTGTATACAGACTTATTTATTTAAAATAAAATACAAGGTGGAAGAATATTTTACAACGAAAATATTTTAAAATATGTTCGAAAAAATGTGATTCGTAACAACGTACGTGGAATACGTTACATCTAAATATAAAAGAAATCGACTACAACTAATTAAAAAAATGCTATTGTATATTACGTTCGAATATTAAAAAAGTTTTTTAAAAATAGTACATTGTTTCGTATTAAACAATTTAAAAAAAAATCATTGTGGCGGCTCTTTTAGTTACTTACATATGAAGAAATAAAACTACTTAATATTCTTAAAAATATTTATGGATAAAATAAAAATTAAGATACAACAATATTGTTGATCGCTACAATCATTCACCTAAATCTGAAATCGTCTTGTCACTTTCTTCTTCACTTTCTTTATCCCAATCTCTTTTTTTCACCTTCCAATAAGAATAATCCTCTTTATATTGATCATTAAATTCATATAATTTTGAGAATGAATTCCATTTCATATCGCTTAAAATGTAAAATTCCCTAGTCGAAATCTGGCAATGCTTATAAGCATCATTGATGCCAATCAACTTTGGGCAATTAAAAAAATGATGAATCCTTAGGGATTTTTTTATAACTTGGTAACTGTGGTTCAATTCGATGTCATCCATTAATTTTTTGGTTACCTTTTTACTTCCCTCTTCGTCGTATTTCTTTTTATATTGAGTCATCACGTCATAGAAACGAAACGAATTCTGGTACTTGATATATAAATTCTTCTCCACCTTGCTTTGTATGGATTTGACAATATCATTAACCACAGTCCTCCGGATTATGTCATCGTCCATGTTTATTTTGACCTTAAACGATGTCTTATTATCAAAGTAATCTTTCTTTAAATCGGTCAGTTTTTCAATTTCTTGTACGAATTTTTTAGAAAGTTTGTCTTTTTCCATTTTTAAAGTCAAAGTGAGGATTTTTTTTTATTAGGATGGAAATTAAGTTAATAAATAATGTATATATTAAAAAGATGCGGATGAAGGATGATTAAATATTATTACAATTCTAATCATGAACATTTTAAATGGCTTTTTATACAAGTTTCCTACACAACCTGAGTAAAGATTTGTCCTCGAAATATACAATCTAGAACATTATTTTTTTGCTGGTAAAATCAGAACAATCTAAACATTGTTTATGATACTAAAAATGTAACAAAGAAACAAACCAATCTTACATTCGAGGAAAAGGTTGCATAATGAAACAAAATTCGTGTATCAAGGATAACGCCAACCCAACGTATTCAATTTACACAAAGCTCCGAGTTGTTAATAGTTCAAATTATCTCAACCAGTTATCAACAGGTTATACCATACCAAAAGTGAAAGTAAATTTTAATTTGTTCCAAGTTGAAAAAAAAAAAAAAAAAAAAAAAAAATGAAAATCTAAATTGGAAAACCTTGGCAAATAGGATTTATGATTTCCAAAAATGTTATCACGAATAATCAAGAAATCCATTCATGCGTTTAAGATTTACCCGTTTAAGATATACTGGTTTACCGTTTATTGCCCAAAATTTATTAATCTTTGACCCTCTAAAATTTATTTTAATCAATTACACAAATTTACTAATTGGGACAAGTGATATGAATTGAACATTCCCAAATTGGGTTTTTGAATACTATTAATACTTATTAAATATCTAAAAAAAAATTTTAAATTATCATTATTTATATCATTATTATTGTTGTTGTTGTTGTTATAATTAAACAATACTTGATGGGCTCAAAGAATAAAAAGATTTTTTTTTCAAACATTTACCAACATGTTTCAAGGAGTGATGAAATTAAAAACGTGATGTTTGAAACGAAAATATATTCGCTGCTTTTAATTTTTTTTTGTGTACTTAATTAAATTGTAATTTTGTACCATAACAGGTTCGAAATTGTGCTACTGCTTAAGAGACTAACCAAATCCGCCATTGCAAAAATTTTTTATCGACCCTTTGTTTACATGCAATACATTTGTTTATTTGAGTGCATCGATGACTGCTTTATTAATTTCAACAGCTTTGTACTTTTTTATAAACCTGCTTCTAGTTTTGTATACATTGAAATCAATTTAATGATTCCAAAAGTAGCAAAACTTAAACGTAAATGAGCGGAATCATTGAATCTTGCAGAAATTCTATGTTTACTGCAGTAAAATTTATATATGCAAACAATTAACCATTATTAAAAAATTTTTTTAAAAAAAAGCCACATCTATCTAACTAATCTCCGCAGAGCCGGATTTCCTTACTCTAGAACATCTCTTTGAGATTGAAAAATTTTTTATATGAGAGAAATTAGAATTTCATTTTTGTTCTTTATCTTTATTCCTTTTTAAATGTTTCGTGTTACATTATTTCTTTTGACATTGATTCATTGATGCGAAATCGGTCATCGATCATGTGCAAAACCTTAATTTTCGCGTAATGTAATTTTTTTCCTCCGTCAAACTTGACGAATTTCGAGAAAATGGAAGCTTAATACTAAACTTCATTATTTAAAACATTAACGAATCTCGAGTAAAAATATTGATACATTAAAAATGGTAAAGTTGTATTTGTTTGGTTGTTGAATGAATTTTAAAAGTATAAACTAACTGATTTCAAATTTGATAATAAAACAACTGTAATTTTACAACAATTCCTGCTACAAATGAAGAACAAAAAAATCTCTGAATTCAAATATTGTGATTATTTGAATTGATGATTTGTATTGAGGAATTTATTCATTACAATAAGTTCATAAAATTTGATATTTTATGAAAAATATTTTTGGAATTGACTTTAAAAGAGTTTGTTATCCACATGATCGTTTCAAACCCACGATTCTTTTAAACGTATTTCTCTTTGAGGTATCAATATAAAGCATTCATTTTTTTTCGAAATATTGGTTGGTCGTAATTGAATGTTTCAATATCGCTTCTTTTACGGAAATCTTTTACATTTAGGTCTATCCCAATAAAGAAGATTTAATTCGATCATTCGACAAAAATGAATTGACTAAAAAAATATATCTACAACAAACGACAGAAGCTTTGGCGGCAACAAGAAAAAAGTTTAGTAATTCAGGGTTCTGATCTTAATATAGTGAGAAATTTTTAAACAAAGATTACTTACATAAATGTTATTTTGCTCTTACAATACTAAATTTCTCTAGCTATTTAGAAAAACAGCGCTATATTCTCCTGAAATTCCAAAGAAAAAGTTTAATACAAAAGCAAAATTTTATTGTTGTCCATTACCACTACCTCCTCATAATAGATAATATACATCTAGCATTGTCTAAATCCATTTAATCATGATTCTTGCAAATATTTTTGGATAATTCTGTTGCAATACCTAATCTTCTTAATAAGTTGCAGCGAATTCATCATACATATTGCGCGTCAATGCTTGACCAATCAATTAAGTCGTTTTGCTTATTTGATTTTGGATTTCGGTCTTAGTAACGATTTCAATTCCTGATCCGACAACGCGAGTACATTTTTTTTATGGTGGAATCAGAATACGAGCGAAAAAAAGATATTGATTTAACGGAGCCAATCACGATACATGTAATGTCAAAATTTATTTTTCTTTGTAATTTTTAATTTAATGATAAAACTAATAATGTCCTAAAAAATAAAGAATATGTCTTATAGATCTATTTCCATCTATATACGTTTAATTACTATTGTGATGACATCAATAGATGCTTCACGTATACATTTTCAAAAAAAAAAACAGCCTTGATTAAGTTTCTCCTCTTAAACGTTCACAAATCATGGTTTTATTTATAAACAAAACAAAGGTAATAATATCCTTTGAAATCTTATTCGCATTGGTTTTACCTAAATTTATTTTAATATTTAAAGGAATAAGACTTTTATAGATTGAATAATTGTGATGGTATGATAATTTTTTAATTAATTAAATATTTATCCATTCAACACAAAGCAAAACTTAATTTTTTTCACTAATCATTACGTGTAATAAATTGTAGTTCTTCTTCTAGCTTTTCGCTTTATGTTTCAAATGCTACATCAACAAATTGAAGAGAATTTCAGCTTATAAAGCTTATAAATGACAAACTACCGTGAAAATCATTATGGCCAAAGACGTTTCACGTGATTTACATATATCGATTTAACGACACAATCTAAAAACATTTTTTTGAGTGGAAATTTGCTTAGGCGTTCTAATCTGACCTGGACAACGTATTTTATATTATTTACAATCTCTATGAAAGGTTTGCACATTACATTAAATTCTATTCAAAAGCAAATGTTTTCTTTAAATTAACTAGGGATGATCAATCATGGGATGAGTATAAATTCAATATTCAACTCTCTTTTTTTTTAAAAAAAAAATAATATATATCACTTATTTTGAAGTAAGTATTACTGAAATTTATTTGAGTTCTAAAAAAATTTCATTTTGAATATTGAAAATATAATCCCATATTTCGTGATTCGAAGCGAGGATCAATAGTAATGAAATTTCCGATTCAGATATATCAATAGTCACTCGCTTTGTAGATTGAGTAAGTTATGCGAAGGCTTTTTCGGAGAGTTTCTTTCTTTTTAGTATTATTTATATTATTAAGCTTAGTTGGGAATGTATTTTCAAAGGACCGAACTTTCGATATTTGAAATCATTTTTTTTTGGTATGAAATTTAATTTTACTGATTTGATTTCAAACGGTCCAATTGACCTTTAGAATTCCAATTCATACTTCAACTTATATATATATTGCGAAATGTCAAATCATTATGTAATGTAACTGACTGAATTACTTAAATTCTTTGAAATAATGTCATTTAAACATGTAAAAATATTATATACTCTATCAACGGTATTTTAAAAATGATATAAATTTTAGATTTTTGACTTTATTATTTTCAAATCTCACGGAAAAAATTAAGCGCAAATATTTTAGGTAGCAGATATTGTTTAATTGTGTAAAAATTCTGAGGAATCAATTAATTAAAATAAATGATATGTAATAACATTTTTTAAACCCAATCGTATAGCAATCTCTTTTATTGGTTGATCAAGGTTTCTGATTGGCTGAATTAAATTTCATAAAAATTAACTTAGCAACGCCAATTTTGGAGTTTTCTAAAATCTTCAATTGAATCGATCATATTTTTGGGTTTCAACCTTGCTCATTTGAATCTCAAAAAGTCCAAGTATAATTAATATTTGGGTCTTTAAAGGTTATAAACCAATATACCGACTTGTATAACATATAGGTAATTATTAAAACAAATATAAATATTTTGTGTAACGATGATCATTGATGAGTTTCTTATAATTGGCTGAAATTTATCGCCTCGGATTTGTATATTATGACTAGCAATTCTACCCAGGCGATGCCCCGGGGCTTGCTAACATAACTAATAAAACAAGAACATCGCGGGGAGCTTTAACAATTTTATTTGCAATTAAACAATAATTATTTATGATATTTGACAAATTTAAATAATAAATTTTATTATAGTTAAAATTTAAAATTTTTTTGATAAAAACCAAATGATGAAACTAATTTATTATATTTTTCTTGTAAATTATGATATTCATTAATAACTTGATTATCAGTTTTTATTGAATCATAATCAAAGTGCAGTTAAATTTAAAAATTCCCATGTCTTAGCATGACTAATAGCAACATATGCTTGTTCAGTTGCAAACATTTGTGAATGTAAAGATATTTTAAAAATTGCTAGCATTAATCCTTGGGTTTTATGTACTGTTAAGGTAAAAGCATTTTGAATAGGAATTAAATCTTCTTAACAGTTGCATAAATAATCCTGATCCTGTTGGAAATACTACATCTATTGATGTTTAATTACGAATTTTCATTATTACTTAATTGTTTTCCTTTCAAATTTAAAAGGATTGAAATAGAGTAGAGTTTTGAATCGG